AAACCGTAATTTTGCAAGAATAGCAAGAAGAACTACATGTTTCTGTTCCTGTCTTTTACAAAATGTAGAGCGCTTTTTTTATAATGTTTTTTTTTTTTTTTGATACTGTCATGGTTTTTGTTCTGTTAAAGTTTTATATTTGAGTTTTCATTAGTTTAATTTCCATTTTGTGTTCTAGTTATGGTATTTCTGGTTTGCCCTCTGTTGCATTATTTTGTCAGTCTTCTTTCCCCTGGCTCCCTTCTGGATTCCTTTGTTCACACCTGCTCCCAATCTGCTGATTAGCCTGGTCTTTTTTCTGTCTCCCATATAAGCACCTCCTGTTTAGTCACTGTTTGCAGCTTCGTCATCATTTCTTTGCCGTTCTTATGAGTATTCCTGGATTTCAGTTTTTTGTTATGTTTTCCTGGATATTCCTGGATTTCAGTTTTTGGATTTTCACTTCTGTTTTCACCTTTTTAATTAAATCTGCAAGAAACCACCTTCAGCTTCAGTCTCTACATTAGGTCCTCCTCTCAAATCTCCACCCAACCTGACAGATACTTTTCATATTTTTATATATTCCTTTTATTATCTCAGGATAATTTATTATTAAAAAGAATACCCAGTAATGCCCAGTTTTTCACTTTCAGCCACTTGGTCATCCATGAGAGCGATTAAAGGAGACATGATTATAATAGGATCCCTCTACAGCTTATTGATTTATTTCTCAACCAGCAAAGTAAACTGATTAATCAAACTCTTGCAAATCGCCAGAGTGATTAATCTCACCCTTTTGCTTGTTTTTCAAAAGAGAAATATACGTTATTTCAGCTTTAACAGACTGAATCGCAAAGTTTAAAGGTATATCCACCTGCTCATCTATATTTGATTAGCTTCAGCATGCAGCTTCTGGATGATGTCATACACTTCACTGCATTTCATAGATTTGAAACAAATCTGTATTTGAGGATAATGCATCTATTGCCTTCTAGCTAAATGTATTTTTGGGAGTTTTTTTAATTCACAAATCTTGTGATAATTCATCCTCCAATGTAAGGTACAGTAATCACCTTCCAGCCAAACCCCAACCCTCCCTGCCCATTCACCACATTCACCATTTTCCTTCCACTGCCTCGAATAGGCTTTACTTCATTCTCCAGCCTCCATTCCTCCACCAGTGTCAGGCCCTGTTGGTACAGATGTCTTAAATCTAGATATGTCTTTTCACACAGGTCAACTACTTTCAGCACTAACTTCTTCTCTCATCTTTGCAAAGGCATATCATTCATATTGTCAATAAAACAATCTCCCCGCGACTTTCTAGGTTGAAATGAATTTATTGGCTAATCCTAAAATATCCCTGTAAGAGACACTTACAGTACTTACTCTGACCTCAGGAGGCCCACATAATCTATTTCATTGCTGATATGCAAAAAATAAATGTATTGACATGTTTTCTTTTGACAAATAACAGATTTTCAGAAACATTATGTAGGGTATTTTGTATTGTTTTCCTTTTATTTTACATACTTTTCTCACAGTTCTCTGTGAAATAATAATATGTGGATTTATTGCTGGCTGTAATGTGTGTGCTGCAATTGATAGAGGTATTTGTGATCATTAGTTCTATTTACTAATTAATCTATAAAAGATATAAAGCATATTTTGGGACCAAATGAAAAAAAAAGGCCCCAAAATTAGTAGATTAGGGCTAAGGTAGGTTTTAGACTTGAAATAAAATAATCTCACTTGTAGTCAGAATAAACAAGCCTACCAAAGTTAAGACTAACTTTGGGCTTATCTGTAAATGTCCTTACATTTTTATTTATTTTTTTTTATCATCACCTGCTTTACCACCCTTTTCACTTGGCAGAAATAAAAGCAAATTGCTCGTCAAGGACATAATAGCAGGATTTCTGCTCATGAAAGACACAAATGTCATTCAGGTCAGCAGCGACCCCTGGGACAGTCATTAGGTGAAATTAGAGGCATTCTTCTGTCGCTCACGGCTGACAGCTTGATAGATATCTTTTCCACGGTGACTTCATCACTTCAGGTACAGAGGGTAAAAGACATCAAAGTCAAGAAAATATAGACAAACTCGCTTTGGTGTTTTAGCCTAGGGAGAGCCTCACAGGTCTCTGGATGTGTAGGTAGGTAGAGTGGAGTAATACAAGACAGGTGCTGTTTTTTCTTTTTTTTTTCTTTTTCTTTTTAAAAGAATTAAGCTTTAGTTTAATGTAATAATTCATTGTCTTTTGTTTAATCTTTCATTCCAACCAATCGCCTGCATCTGTTTGTCCAACAAATCTTTAACTACACTTCGAGTATTGTTGCATATCAGATGGGGGTATGGTTATTTTCAGAGTTTCTTGAAAGATCTGTGAAAAACTGATTTCTCCAGCTTTCTTGATGTTCTTGCCTTTTGAGACTACCAACCGCACCGTGTAGAGCGTTTCAATGTCTGTGTATCATGCTATTCATCTCCCCCATATTTTTGTATCAGAAAAATTTAGAGATTTGAGGCTTGTCATGGTTAGTAGAGGTGAGCTGGAGTGATGCTACGGTAAGTGCACTGGAGCGTTTAGCTGTACATGGAAAGATTTACCATCCTGTGAAGCCATAAACCTGCAATTACAAACCCTAACAACTCTGGCAGAAGCAGCCTGTACAACACAGTTTTCCTCTGGGCTCAGGGATTTAAGCCTCACAATCATTCATGCGTGACTTAAGAAGCTAATTGCACAAGAGTGACACACATACAGGAAAACCTCCTTACAGGAGGTAGACTAATGTCGGAGGTGGAATTTTGTTTGAAATTCATCAAATTTTAATCCAGCTCGAACATTTCCATATTTCCATATTTATCTCCATGCTTCTAGCATCCACTTCCTGCCTGCATATCATTTTGGCCCTATTAATAGCTCAAACTGCTCCTTACCTAAGATTCTAACAGGGGACATGTTTTCACTCTTGTCACCGCAGCCTTGTATCAGGACCAGCGTTCAAAGACACTTGAGTCCCAAGGTAGATAGGGCTGTCAATGAATCACTCCATATCTGCCACAGTTGGTAAATTGACTGTTTGATGCTGGAAACAGATGGGGCAGGAGGCGGGTGGAGTTTGTGATGAGGTGTAGGATTCATGCTCTTCCCAGCCTTGCATTAATGAATCAGTGTATTTACTTAGTGCGATCTGCTCATCTGAAATAGGCCTGCAATTGCTGTCCGCTCCACAGTGTTGTTACCCCCTTCCCCGCTCTCACTCCTTATCCCCCCTCCCCCCGCTAAAGGTAATTGCTCCTACCTTAGACACTGTAATAGATCCTGGATGAAGTATTGACCGCAGCTAGATTTTGATTAAAGGGGTGTAGGGCAGAACACGCCTTTAATGAAACTGAAGAATCAGCATTCTCCTGGCTGTAGCGCCAAGCCTGGATCCCGGCTAGCATGGCCCACAGGCACCTTGATTAGTACCTGATCTCTGGCAAATCCAAGGATGGGGCAAAGGCTCTGAATTAAAAGCGATGAATTAATCTATTAATAACACCCAAGGTGTGTACAGTTTTTCCTCTGGAGGCCCCTAATGATTAAAGATGTGTGTATTCATTTACTGTAAGCTCTCCCACATGCATATTCACCCACAAGTCCAATCATCCACCTTGTTGCTCTGTAGCTGAAACACTAACACATTCATTAATGCACTCAATCCTTTTTCCCTTCATATGCAAAAGGTCAGGCTTTATCAGTTAGAGTTTTAGCATGAGGGATAACTTGCATTAGCTTTTCTCATCCTCTTCCTTTATTGCCTTTTTGCTCGTGTTTAAAAACTGATTGCATCTCGGACAGAGATGAAAGGGAAGCAGCACGCTCCCCCCGTTCTTTGAGCATGCAAATGGACATAATCTAAAAGAAGAAGTATTAGCATGCTAAAAGACAGCACAGCTATGATGAACACCATTTGCCAAGGCTTAATGCGATAGCTGGGTAAGATGATTAACTTTGAATCTATTTAATCAACCACAAGCGCTTTCTCAAATAACCAACTGCCTTGTGTTCTGGTAAAACTTCCCTTCAAATCCATCGGGGATTGGATGGATGTGTCAAATCACAGTTTCTGAATTAGAGCCGAACCAAACAGGGCTCTTTGAAGTAATGGACATCAGACATCATTTTATCTGCAGTATTTGTAATTCTTTGTCTTGTTTAATGCTCACAGTGGATTGCAACTTGCAGCACACAGCAGCTCGATTTGACAGAGAAGTCAATGTGCCCTTGGGCTGCATCCTATTGACTTAAGTAGTTTAAGTAGTGGGGCCTCTCACCTCTTTTTTTATATTCACCCTAAAGTGTGCGCTGATGACCATCTCTCCTAATGGGATAGAAGTTCTGATCCTTTTTGCCAGACCTTATATCACAATCAAATAAATCTGCTTGTAAGATATTGCATTTGTTTTTGCTGATGCTGAAAACAAATTGTAGCTGATCTGGCTATTTCCACCATCAGACCCAGTTGGAAAAGAAAATAAATATAACCAACACAAAGTCCGGTTGTAGCTGGTAAAATAAAGAATAAATATGTGGAGAAGTATGCCTTCGGGGAAATATGCAAGAGGATCTATAATTCTTTGGGTCTGTATCATCTTGGGCTCTTTGAAATACCAGAAGATTTGAATTACAATTTGTAAAGCTTCTGTTAGGTTAGGTGGAATATGTTTTCAAACATCTCCCCAAATTAACATGGAGATATTTCACCACATTCAAAATACATTTCTGTAAAAGTAAAAGGTGTCTTTTCATCAAGAAGTGGACTGTTTCCTAGGATGTGCGGGATTATGCTGATTTATGGCGTGACATTAGTTAAAGGCTTCTTAAACATCTTGACTATGGAAGCAAAACCTTTCTTCTCCTTATTTCTGCATAAATTTTGTGTCATTGGTTGATAAAAAATAAATTCCACAACTAACAGATAAGTCTCTATTAAATGATTTCTCTGCTATTTGTCTGATCCTTTAACAGACCTCGATAACCCAGTGATTACTGTGCATCAAAGTATTGGAGAAGCTAAGGAGCAGTTCTATTATGAAAGGACAGTATTCCTGCGCTGCGTGGCCAATTCCAACCCGCCTGTCCGCTACAGCTGGCATCGTGGGAGGGAGGTCTTGACTCAGGGCTCCGACAAGGGCGTGGAGATCTATGAGCCCTTTTTCACACAGGTAAGACAGAGGAAAGGTGGTGGGGATGTATGTATTGAACCTTAACACATTTTTAGCAACAGATCAATCTTCAGATTTTAGATTTTTATAATGTTTTGAAGGAGAGGTATGATTAGGTATTTGTTATTTTCTTACCTACAGTAGAAACTAGAAATGTTTAGATCATTATTGCCCACTACAGGCCATTAGTAGTATCTATGTGCTTTCACATTTTTTGAGGTCCACGCTACAGTTACAGCCCTAAAAATACCAACCATTATGATACAGTAGAGCCTCAACTGTGCCTTGGTGTTGTTATGAGCTATGTCCCATCTGGCAGCTGCTTCCTTCAAAGGAACTGGTCTTCCTGGACTGGGTTCTTAGAAGGCTGTGAAAATGAGGAAGAGTTTGGCTATGAATTTGAATGGCTCCAGCCTTCTCTGATGCCATTTCTCAATTGACTAGAACGCAAGTACGGACGCGTGTCCTCGTTCTTGAGAAGAACACAGGAAAGTATGGACTTGGTGAGAACGGGAGCATGCAGCATAAATATGGGTCAAATGGAACAGAAGCGTACTCGTGACGTCACCAAATGCCCGGCTCCTCTAGAGCTGCATTTTTTCTCCTGTTATGAATAGTCTCTAGATAATAATAAATCATTATTTTTTTCATTTAGTGGGGGAATAATAATTAACACAGCCATATGAACACAAATCAAATGAACATTTTGCAAAATAAAACAAAAAAATCACCATCAGAGCCAGCAGTACTTCACACACGGCTATGCCGAGAGAGGGCTGCTATACTGTAGATGGGCTGCGGTTAGCCCTGACTGCGGTTACCCTTGGAGGTCCGCTGGTTGCACCGGTCCTCTCAACTTCGAATATCTTTTTTTAAATTACGCATTAAATCGGTAAATTGACCATATAGTGACGCTTTAAAGTATAATATTCTCACCTCAAATAATCTTAAAACTTACTTTTATTGAACAACAGCAACAGAAAAGAGAGCTTTTCACTTTCAATGGAGCTTTCCATTGAGAGCTGCTGTTTCAGAACTGCATGCTTGGCAGCTGTCAACCTCAAGAACGGACAAGTCTGCTCTGATGCATGCTGGGTAAATAGGGAGGAGGTGAGAACAACATCCGGGGACTTTCTGTTCTCGGTCTGCTGTTCTTCTGAATTGGAACAGTATTAGGACTGAGGCTGATGAAGTTTCATGAGCACATGAGAACGCACAAGTACACATATTGAGAAACGGCCTGGCTGTCACAAACCCTCCCTCAGCGTATGCTCTGTCACCTAGCAACCGTGACTTTTGACCCTCAAAGCAGGCAAAGAATGAATCCCAAACTTCTCAGTTCTTTTGCATTATCATTTCATTTTTGAGGAGCTGCAGCAGCAGTATTGTCATGGCAGATATTTCAGATATCTCAGGCTGAGAGGTAAACATCTTCAGACAAAATAAATGTTGTAGATGTCAGCCAAACCCTTTTGCATAAGGACATATACAGTAAAGGATTTGGAATAACCAAACATTACCAGTGACATAACTTATTTGCTAACCACTTAAATGAACTATTTTTATTAATTTAAGCCAAACCTTTTTACTTACTGAATTATATTAAACTGTGCTTACAATACTGTTGGTCACCATTTCCTTATTTCCTCTGAACCTGGAGCCGTGCTATAGTATGACAGACGACCAATCTGGCATTTGGAGGACGAAGCCACTGAATTCGGACACAGCAATTAGTTTACCTCAGAATCCTTAGCTTATATGTTATTTTATTAAGTAATGCCTTTTTTTTCAATATACTTATTCTCCTCCCATACAGTAGCCCATCTTTGTATGATGTTTAAGTCATAGTATGGACATTCACCACTAACTTCCAAAAGGCTTTTCAAGGGTTCACTGCGAGGCTTGCTTCTGTTGTCAGACTCCTGCTTATGCTTTCTCACAATATCATGCTGAAAATAGTTTAACTTTAAATTATGTTTTTGATCTCTAATACACATATATTAATAGAGTTGAATCACCAATGAAATTATTATTTACAAGAATGTCTTTATTCTACTGGGATGCCAGAAAGTGAAAGTAACCTCAGTAATTGAAACATTTTCTAATAGTTTCACAAAATTAAAATCATGCATGTTTAGCCTACAAAAACCTTGTTCATTTGGATTAAATTAAATACATAGTATGAAAATTTGGTATCTTTAGTCAAATGATAATGATAAAAATAAAAAAATAAAATAAGAAAAGTGAAAAAAAGGCTTCATTACCAAGTAGTCTTATACTAGTTACTGTAGATGCTTGTCAGACAGAGAGATTTGATGCTTTATCAGTGTGAACAGCACTTTCTAATGAGAACGATTGCTGCCCCAAAGCAAAGCTTTAATTCTTAGTAAGGCGTATGTCAGAATTACTGTTGGAAAAATATTTTATTACAGCTTTAGTACCTAATGGTAAAATAGTGCTGAATTTTTATCACAATTTGTCTTTCTTTTTGATAACACTTTATGTCTTCATGTACATATTGACCCCTCAGTCACAATGCACAGATATGTAATAAAATATTGTGACTACCAACATAAAGATTGCGAAACTATAAGCAAACAATAGCATTAGTAATGTAAAGCAATTTCAATGGCTTTTTATTCATAGACAAGTCCTACTCCTATTCAATAAATATTTTTTGAGGATCTTATTTTAGATATAAAGTTGAGCCTAAAATGTAAACTAGGTTGTGTGAACATCTTGATGTAAGAAAGAAGCACAGTAGTGTGTTATCCCAGCACATACACTTTGCAGCATAACTATAAATAGCCGGAAATACATAGTTCATAATTACTAAATCAAAACAATTATTATTACAGATAAATTACACTATTAAAAAAAATGATTAATTAGTTTTTAATTTTTGTTTGCTTACCTCATGCCTGACTAAACTCACAGAGTGACAGTATAACTTGTCTTAATTAAACCTCCAAAAATACAATAGATTCTTCTAATCCAGTTTCACGGTTTACATGCCCATTTGTGAAGTGGGTTTCTATCATTATCGGTTTTTCTCTGTCAAGCAAGTGGATTTTCTATGCAGCCTGAAAACTGAAAAGCTTTGCTCTAAAAAGGATTTTCTGCAGTCAACAAAGAGCTGATTGAGATTGTTCCATCACTTGTGAAGGTATTGTAGTTTTTCAATACATTGAGTTAAATGTGATTTGGTACGTACTTGGAAGTCGGCATCAGTGGGAATTTGAATCTGCACCATAAAAAAGGAGTGGAAAAGAGGCTTTGGGAATAAAGAGAGAGAGGAAAAGGAAGTGAAATTGATGTTTGGCCAAATGGAGAAAGATGGCTGTTAACTAATGGAGAGGGTGAAGCAGAATGAAGAAGCTGCAGTACTGGGCCCCAATTAACACTTATCCCATCAGCACCCTGCATTTCCTACTGCCCCTATTAAAAGCTTAATTGAGTCTGAAAATTGGAGCACAACCTAAAACCCAGAGATAAGGATTTTGAGAGACTAGCTCTAAATACAGTATTTTGTTATGTACTAACCTCCAAATAAATCACCTTTATTAATATTTTTAGCAATATCTAAACCAGACTATTATCCAAAGGTAGTTATAGAGACACCAGAAAAGAGGTCAGAACGGTCTCCTGGAGAGTTTCCTCATCTGACTCCTACTGATAATCATTCTTCCTTTTGCTTACAGTATCTCCAGTCTTGCAGATTAATTATACTCATAAAGATGTTAGATACATGCAGTTGGGACATTTTAAGTTCAGAGAACTATTGTAGTTTCTTTAATAAACTACTCTATTCTGATCTGTGAATTTATCAAATAAACCATTTACTTTTCACTGCCATTTCACAGCTTAGGTAAACATAAGTCATGTTTACCTAAGCTGATACTATATTCTTTGGATTTCTTCAATATTTCTGGACATACTGTTGGAATTTTGGAGACCAGTAATCATTAAAAGTACGATGCCATAACAAAGCTCAGCTAGGAGAAAGGGGAAGGAATCAAACCCAGTTTACCTTAGATCACAAGGGGAAAAAGGTAACCAAATGAGTCCAGAAATATAAAACAAGACAACAAAGCTTAAGGAATATAACCAAAGGTTCTTAAAACTCAAAATAAAACTACAATTACCCAAGGCAACAAGTAGTTCTGGTGCTGCAGAACACATAGGGAGGAGATCAGAACAAAACATTAGCCTCTTCAGGACAGAACTAAGTAACACAACTGATATCAAAATGTTTATAAAGAGTCACAGCTACAGTATACAAAAGTTGTTCCAAGCTTCGATTGATCAACAAACCAGCAAGAGGCGAGCTGCTCAAACAAAGACAACAGCCCTGTCAACATGAGGGTGCTGGTTTAAATAGGAGCAGCTCTCCTTTGATTGGTAGGACAATCAGGCCAATATCCAATCCTGATGAGAGCCTTGCAACAGGAAGTGACTGGAGGGCTGAAAGTGTCACTAACCCATCCGTCCCGGAAGCACGATCCGTTCTGCGCATGCGGGTCCGTGTCCAGGTCGCTCTCAATTTTATTTTGTTAAAAAGACCTACATTCCCTCTCAAAAAATAGTAAACGTACTAAAATATTATGTGTTAAAGGTTAATAATGCATTTCCTGAGAAAATAAATGCCTTAAATTTTATCGCTGGTCTCTTCCCGATCTGCTCTGAAAATGGGATCCTACGTTACTTCAGGGAACTACCTTTTTCGGCTTTGGATTTAAACATACATCTAGTGTTTTTGAGTTTTATTTTTCACTTTCGTGCTAACTAACACTATGGTATATCGTGCGTAATTTAAAGAAAGAAACAATTAAAATTTAGATAAACATGGTTTAATCATATTTCGCCAAGCATGTCCAATGATGATGTCAGAGAAGCAAT